CCCCAAAACCCCAAAACCCCAAAACCCCGCAAATGCAATGACAACAATATTCAATTATTAATATCTTACTAAATTATTAGATAATTCGTTTAAATAAATCAAATCTACTAGCGATCTATTATAAAATCTATAGTTCAAATTTCTTTGAGCATGACAAATGGCATATCGTATTTCTATTTTAGCATCTCTTCTAAATCTCTATCATTTATTGTATGGCAATTTGAAGCAGTTAATATTTTGAGCATCTTTACTTGGTGGAAGCTGGTTAATATTTCATGTAATTAACTATTATTTATTAGAGGGTATTTGACGATCAAAGTATGCAGATTTGGAAATACGCATGCATCTATGAACTACTTGCTTATCTGTGTGTAGTAAGGACTGATTTCAAAAACAGTAATGTTAGGTAATTAAAATTTGTTGATTCCAACCATAAAATCAACGCATTCTTAAGCTACTTTGATATATAGCTTATCGAACTTTGTATGAATGATTTATACTTCCTCAAGTTGTAAATGGGTATATTTTCTTTGAAACTCTTTTCTGCAGGCATAATTCCCTACCTCTAAGCATTTAGTATTGATGTCGAGTAGCTTTAGAAAGTTATGAAAGCCTTATAATTCTGATATAGTAAACAAGTTAAGTTAAAGCTCACTTAAAAGTTAATGTAAAGCCATTATTATAGAGTCAATTAAATAATGGTACACTCTATGGCCTCTTATAATCATCATTTTGCCAGCTGAATTATAATATAATTGTTTTATCTCTGATTAATTCAGTGGATCGTTAAAGTCCTCACTGCTAAAGTATTTTTAACAAAGCTAATAATGTGTCTCCATATCTTAAGAGAAATTGATCATAGTTTAGATTTGATATTAATCTTCATTGAAGCTGTGAAAATTCAGGTTTACTGAGATCTGCTTTTCAACCCAAAACTAATATTCCTGCGAATCCCTAATCATTTTCAGATTATCATAAGGTAGAGATTGATCAGTGAATATGAATTCAATATTTGTTGCGACATTCAACCAATATCTAGTTATTGATTGTAATGTTTTCTCTGATAATAAGACATTCGGTATTACTACTTTGAAAGTATAATTTTATGTGGCTAGAGTTTTATTGAAGGTAATTGTGCTTCTGTCTTGTTTAGAGAGAGTTGATAGCTCCAAATAAATCTATTTCTACTCTAAGTATTTAAAAATCTCTGCTCTTAAATTTTTTGGAAGTGGTTTCATTTTATAGGTTTCGTCCTTTGTATATAAATTATATTTTATAGCATTTTTGTCAGATTCCTCAAATCTATAATGATCTCAGGGGTTTTGGGGTTTTGGGG